GGCATCTTGGAAAGTAAAACTACACTTTGCCAATTTTATGCTATTGTGCAGATATAAGGGAAAGAGCACAGTCTCAGAGGCAGACAAACTTGTGTTCAAATACCATCTTTGTGCCCAGAGTTGTGTTATGTAAGTTTGGTCAATTTCTCTGAGCTAGGGTCAGGACTAAATTAAACAGCACATATTTAATATGCTTAGCATGGACACTTAATGGATGATAGATCCTTTCCCCAATTTATTCATACTGAAGCAACAGCTCAATATTACAGTTTGATGTTATGGTATAATTTGAAAAGGTGAAAAAAATCAATAAAATATAAAATTAAGGTGTTTTAAAAAAAATGCCTTTTACTAAAAAAGTCTTTCAGCAGGCTTAAATATTTCCTAATACAACTTAGTGCCAACTATACCCTGATTAAAAAAAAAAGTCCTAAAGAATGATAAAATTGTCAATGATTAAGGACTTTTGGTTTTCTTTTGTGCTCTGATATAAAAATAATGGCTATATTTAAGGCTCATTAAGTGATTATTTGTAGTTGCCCTGAACCAAAACTATATTCTTGATGTTGTACTACCAGTTGAAAGAGATCTACTGCCTGGCCTGGAATGACCATCACAGAAGAATTCCCACGATATTCTATATTTCAGTAAATGGTGCCCCCCCCCTTTCTGTTTCTAAAAAGGTTTATATCAAGGTATGTGGCCGTATAGCTTATCTGTCATTAAGGATGACTCATATACACAATCACAACCCCATCTTTCTCATGCTAAATATATGGTACTTAGAAAATACAGAGTTTCTGGAAACTAAATTTAAATTGTCACAGAAATAGATAATCATGCCTACATCCCTATTATGAGCTCTTTTTGTTTCCTACACTGACCACTTAACAAATCAACCTTTATGAAATATTTCCCTCAAACTTTACATCCCTCCATGTATATCCTTTACATTCATGTAAATTTTATATTACCTTCAACTTCTATATATAATTATAATTCATTCTTTAAGTTTACCTTCAACTTCTAGCTAAAATGTAGTCTACTTTACTTTTAACTTTCTTCAGTGTTTAGCACAGCTCTATGCATATATGTGTTGACTGTGTATATACAGATGTGCATGTGGTGTGTGTGCATATTGAATGAATACAAAACTAAAGATTCTGGGTGGCTGAAGGGTAGAAAAAATTTTTATAATTTTCCTGAAGTCATAATTTAAAAATTGATTTTCAAAGCTGTATCAGTTTGGTTTTAGGTATGTCAATAATAAAAAGGCAGTGGGGAAAAAAGAGTTTAAAAACCTTTATGAAATATTCTAAAGGTCTTGAATAAATTATTAAGAGCACCAAACCAAAGCAGTTTACTAAATAGTGGCAGAACCTTTCCTATGACTTTACAAATGCTGACTTCTTTTCATTTCAGACAAAGAATACTGAACAGGAATAGGTGTTGTGAATCAGGATTAAAATTAAAAAAAGGCAATTCACTCTGCCAATACCTAATGCATATTTTGCAATTAATTTGAAAAGACTTCTGTGGTATGTCATGTTAAGTAAAAAGAATGGTTTGTATCAAAATACTGTAGATTCCTATAGTTGTTTTGATACTATAAAATGTGACACATATATTGAAGTTGCTACTTAATAAGAAACATTGTGTTCATAATAGCTGTTAATATTAAAAT